TATTAAAATTTGAAATCGTTTATTAATAATTATATAAATATAAATTATGGAGCATATATTATATAATAATATAGTAGTGCTTCTTATTTTTGGGGCCTTAAATATTTGGAGGCCTAAGGGAACAACTGCACTTGCCTTACCCTAGAGCCACCCTAGCTCCCAAAACAATTACTCCCTCCGTTTTAATTTATGTGAATCAATTTGACTGAGCGCGAAGTTTAAGAAAAGAGAGAATGACTTTTGAACTTGTGATGTAAAATGATACACATATTTTGTGTGACTATAAATTATTGCATAAAAATAAATTATTTCCAAATATAGAAAGAGATCATTATTTTTGATACCAACTAAAAAGGAAATAGGTTCACGTAAAAGTACTGTACTGACGGCATATAAGAAATCAAGGGCGAAACCGTACTTTTATCGTATGTTGTCAAGTTGGTCAAATATCCACGAGTGCAATTTAACGGTTGGGATTTAACCTCCCGAAATCTACAAGCTTCCTCGATCTATTCTTGCAAAATGACGTCGCATTTGACAGTTGAGGCTTCGCCGGACTCGCACGTACCAACGGGCTCAAGCAAAACGCCATCCCAGAGAAGCTCCGGTTATGACCCGACTTCCCGCCGGTTCTCCGGCCAAGTTGAGCGGCCGGTTTTCTCCTCGGAGTCTCCGATGAGTACCCGCTCGATCCGCCGTGGATATTCTCGTCTTCCTCCTCGTCGGTGCATCGCGCCGGAGACATTCCTCGATCGTGGTCCCGGCAAATCCTCCGTTTACCTTCGATCGTCGATTCGTCCAATGAAAACGTCCGTGATTGCTTTTTACGGCGAATGGGCAGAAAACCGGAGAACCACGACGGTGATGAAGACGACGATGCGGGGTAATAATCTCCAGAATTTGAAACCCTAGGATCCGACCCCGGTTTACTCGACCCGGATCTAAACAGACCCGATAACAAAGGAAATTTGAAACTCTTCTTCTTATGCGAGGTGGCAGCAGTTATTGTTTTTCCGTTGGGACCCACATGTGGAGTACTGAAAAATCTTTGATCTGGAACTCCATGAAATGAATATTGCTGGAATTGAAAGGGCGTAGAATCAGATTTCCGGCGAGAAATATACGGCGAAACGGAGCGAGGAAACGCTAGAGGCGGAGGATTGGTGACTCTTTCCCGGTGGTCTTCCTGTATTTGAATTGCCTCATAATGTTTATAATGAGTTTGTGCTTGTGCTTGTTCCTCCGCCGCGATCACAGCAAATAGCCGTTCGCGCAGACACGAAGCACAAATACCGACGCTACTACTAGCGTCGGCTAGATGCTTCTTACACCTCATTAATTAACTTTCTGAAAGAAATGGAAATCCGTAAGGACGACTTCTTTTCTCGCGAAAAGCAGGGTTAAATGGCAATAATCATTCTTTGAGCCGGTTTGGATTTTCAACGCACCGGCAAACTGGCCGAGATAGACCTTTTTCTCCTCTGCCTTACCGGTAAGGCAATCATTTAATTTCAAACGAGTTGAGGTCCGGGTGAAAATAAATAAATGCACCTTCCAAGAAAAATTTAAAATGTATATGTTATTTACAACTTTCTTGGAGAGTACTGTATCTTTCTTCTGCTTCTTCTGTTTAAATGGTATTTTGGAGTTGAAAATTGGGAGATGTAAAAGAAAAAAGAAAGTGAAGGTGTGTGGCTTTGTCTTCTTCAATCTTCTTCTTCTCAAAATTGTTTTAGAGCGAGAAAGAATGAGAGAGAAGCAGACAGAGTCACAGAAAATGGGAGCCTTTAAGCGGGCATGAGAATTTTTGTTTGAGAAATTAGAGGCTTCTTTTTAACATCTTTTTATAGCTTCAGCCTTCAAGTATAGAGAGAGGGAGGTTGAGGGTGACACGAGGGAAAAAACAAACATATATAGAAGAATCTTATTACTTTAATAAAATTTCTATTATGGTCAGAAAATGATAAAGTTAATTCTTTTGGGAAAAACGTCTTTAACTATTTTGGTTGGTTTGGAACTTTGAATGTGATCATCTTTTCTTTTCCTCTTTTTTCTTTTTCTTTTAAGGTTTGTGTTTACCTCGAAAAATACGAGTAACAATTAAACTTGATTTGTGGTTTTAAAAATATGTGATTCAATTCAATACCAATTAATGATCAAGAAATACGAAGTAGAAATGAAAGATAGAAGTGAATCAAACCAATGTTAGTTAGCAGCAGTGACCTCGAGATGGTGACCTCGAGGTGGCTTAGGGCAGTAAGAACGATGAAATAATAAAATCAAACCAAAAACGATTAAGCTAAGGGACAATTCTAATGAACAGCAGGCAAAAAGGTAGAGAGTATATTCTTTTCATAGTAAAAGATGATCTTACAAATGATTGGGGTGCCCTTTTTATAATAGAAGAACCCTAAATAAGGAATATTTCTATTTACAGTAGGGAATATTCTTGTTACGGCTGTCTTAACCGCCTAGTACGGAATTGTATGATCCTATTTCGGAATTCGCGCCATGATCTCAGGGACGTGGTAGGAATCTAGCTCGCTTTGGTACAAATCCATAACGGTACTATTTCGAGGTCGAGCATACTTGGCCTCGGTATTCCCCGAACTCCTACTTCCGGCCATTACATTCTTTCTTCGAGCTCGAGCCTGGTCCACCGGCTTCGAACTTGACTTCTCCGGGGCTTGGACATAGGGCGGAACATCGAGCTTCTACATCGGCGGCATATGACTTTGGCCGTATACAGTTTGTTTTACTCATTCACTAATTTGTAATTCAGAAAAACAATTGTTTTTTGATGTTCGTTCGTTTAGAGTCAATTCCTTAGAAAGTTATCCAAATATTAACAATTACTCAAGAAAGTCACTTAACTATACTTTTATCACACAGAAAAATCAAAACCACGGAAAATCCCTTCAATTTCATAAATTTATTAGTTCTAAAAAAATACTCTTGGAAGAGCTAAAATGGATGACTCTCAGTCGTCTTCCACCAATCCGCTTTATTTTCTTTCGCTTATTGTACTTTATAATTATAAATCAATTAAATTTGATCTAAATTTTAACTCAACAACAATAACAACCTAGTAAAATTTCGCTTTCCTCGTCTTTGATGCACCTCACTTGGTCTAAATTCCGAGTCGTCCTCTCTCTCACCTTGACCAACTGGAATAACTTCTTGTCCCCGCCTTTATCGCCTAGTTCCTCATACAAATGACCAAACGCTGCAGTCTTAGTCCCCGTGGCCGCTAATTTCACCTCCCTCCTAACCTCCTTATACCTTTCTCTGTTCTCTCTCCTCTCCTCCTCGTCTTTGCTTTCCACTTACTCCAGGTACGCTGTTTTCTTTGCTTCCACTTTACCTTGGACCACGTCATTCCACTACTAGTGGCCTCTGTGCCCGCCAGAATAACCCTTCGAGACCCCCAGAGGCGGACCCAGGATTCGAGCATAACGGGGGCACCACTGTATATGCTAATCACCAGCGATAATATTCGGCGTGCAACTCTTTGAAACTTAATGATTATGATGACTTATTGTCAGGACCCAATTTCCCCTCCGTTGGGTTTCGTGATGGCACCTAGTCTTAAGGACTAGGTAAGCCTAATAATTGCGGAATAACAACAATGAACAATAACATCCTGGCAAGGGAATCAACAATATAAACCATACATCCCGGCAAGGGAATCAACAATATGAACAATAACATCCCGGCAAAGGGAATCAACAATATGAACAATAACATCCCGGCAAGGGAATCAACAACAATCCAACAATCCAATCACAAGGAAGTTCCACCACCAAGAGTATGATTACATAGCAACAAGAGAATCACGAAGAAACAAAGAAAACACAATAACCTTAACAAAACAACAAAAGAACAGCTAATTCAATCAAGGCAATTAAGGCCAAGTAACAGGTAAGAGTTAGAGGAAAGCTAACAAAATCGTATAGAGCATATAGAGGTAAATTATGCAATTAGATAACTCAATCATAACCGATTACTTCCCATATGATGAACATAAGGGCCTAAAAACCCTAAAGGAAATTTTCCCACAAATAAGTCCGAGCACACACTCGTCACCTCGCGTGCGCGGACTACAATTAGCATGGAAGACTCAAATCCTAAGGGGAAGTCCCCCACACAAGGTTAGGCAAGATACTTACCTCAAAGACGACAAACCGATACTCTAAAATGAATTTCTCGGGTGAAAAGACCTCCGGACGGCTCAAATCTAACCAAATTAACTCAAAGCACAATAAAACACATAAGAAACTATTCTGGAT